CTAATATATATATATATATATATATATATATATATATATCAGTATTTGTCATTCAAAAAGCTATTGATGGTTTCTTTTTATGAACTTAGCAAAGGAGCATTACTATGTTAACAATGCAAAATGATATATAAAAAAGACGAACTTCTTCAGGAAACTATAAATTTGATCATTTCTCTTCTTTCATATTTTTTTTCATACGATACAAATATAATATTATTACTATATATATATAAATAAGGATGTTATCGTTACCTGTGGAGAAGGCGTTGTTAAACTAGACACTTCGTTGTTTTGTTGTTTTTTCTTGACAAGTTGTTCAGCACTCTTGATTTCATCTAATGTTACTCCCTGAGTTGAACGTCGAGTTTCTCTTACTCTCTTTGCATGTGCCTTTCTTTGTGTTTCACTTTCTTCATCTCGTACTGGTGGGACAAAAGATCTGAAGAGAAAGAAAAATATGCATGATATAACATATATATATACCAAAATATTAACTAAAATAATAGTCAAATATTCATTTATTTACTACTATCCTCTGTTCCAAATTATGGCATACATTTTTATCAATTTTATTTCATTATTTTTTACTTTAACATTACAAAAAGTTATCTTTCAGGAATAATAAAAAAATATAATATATAATTTAGAGCAAAGTTAGTATTTAGTTGTACATAACATATAATTTAAAATTATTGTGATATTTATATAATAATAATAATAATAATAATAATAATAATAATAATAATAATAATAATAATAATAATAATAATAATAGTACTGTATCATAAAGATTACATAATTTTGATAATCATTTAAGCATTGTTTTGAAAATAATGTGCAAGCAATCATAGTGTCCGTGTATAAATCTAAAATATAATGTTTGCTCCCATTGCAAAATTTGTCGATGATAAAGAATTTCTGTTGCTGTAAATCAATACCTAATTTTTGTAAGAATCTTATTTTTTAAATGACTTTTATAAATATCTAAATTTATGGTGAAGTATGTATAAATATAAGAGACATGAAAGACAAGGTATCACAAAAAAGAACAAACAAACAATCAAACGATACATTGTCAATTGACAGGAAAAAAACTGACTAATAAGTTCATTTGTTAATAAACTGAAACAAATATAATATGGGATTTTTTTTTAGATCTTGATTCCTATACCAAGAGATACTTTTCAAAATACATCATGTCCACACTGTATTTCTGTTAATCAAAATTTGACACATTACTTACTTTAATCAGTCATCATCTTACATCTATTTATTGCAATGTTTCTAAATTCTTTTTGCAAATAATATAAAAATAATTATATATATAGACGAGAAAAAATATATATCTATATATATGTATATATATATATAATGCAACTGAAAAAGCTAATCACACTGCAAAGCAAAGGTCCATGCTATTGTCAGTAAATTAATCTTGTGCGTATAGACATCTTAAGATACGCAAGGTCACATTTCTCCAGAGAATTCCTCTCAGGTCAAACATTAGGTACCCACTTGAAGAAATTCTTGAAGATATTTCCTGGACTTAGCTTGCTCCCTCCAGGTGTGGTGGGAGTTCCAGATACTGGTACAGTATTGTTTGGACTCGATAGAAGTGTAGATGTAGCTTCCATTGGTTGAACACTACCCAGTCATATTAAATGATATTATAATGCATGACGCGAGCATTATTATAATTTCAATCACGATAACTTAATTCCAGTTGTTCCAATATGATATAGATATATATATATAACCGTATTATTACATTAAGAAATTTTGTTTCTATGAAAAATTTCTTATATTTCTCTTATAATTAAATCATATTCTTCATCTATTCGAAAACTATTTTTCTTTTTTTTGCTTGTTGCTATTGCATCTGGCGTTAATCTAAGAACAAAAAATTAATTACCTGCGTATCTGATTCAGAGGTACAGGACTAGTAGCAATTGTCGTCGTCATTGTGTTGGCAGTTGTAGTGGTTGTAGTTGGCAGTGCACTTAGTGGTGATGTTTTAGATACAGATGTTGGTGAAAGTGTATTGCTTCCCTGTGGCGTTCTTGATAATTCCAAATTTAATTTGATTTCTTTTCTTCTAAACCCAAAATAAAAAGACAATGTAGAATGAAATATAATAATAACAAAATAAAATGATTCTAATTATTGTAAAATATGACTAAAAAAAATGAATTCTCAATTTAAATAATAATTATAAAATGATCTTCGTATTTTTTATAATTTATGTGTTGTTCAATTGTAATTAATTAATCTTTAATAGATGTTTCATATTATTTTTAAGAGAAAGAGAATTATAAAGCAAAGAAATTATTGAAACCATCACCAAGCACAAAAAAAAAGCATAATAATAATAATAATAATAATTTTAAATATACAAATTCTCAAATACACATATACAAGTATTTATGGTGCCGTATAGAAAAATGAAAAATGTGCATTAATAATATCAAAAAATAAAAGTAATTTATATACTAAATTATTATTAATCATTTAATTTATTATTATGTTTATCATACTGTATTATATTATGTAAGTATTATGAGTAAGTGTACACATTATGTATCATAACACACAATGTGGTTTAAAAAGATATCAAGAATTTTGTTTTTTTGATTTGATTATCTTATTTGTGATGTGATATATATATATTTAATTATGAAAATTAATGATGAAACATGCACTTGTACCTGTGTGTTTCGCGCAGAGATGCAGAACGTGTTGTAGCATTGGTATGAGTGGGAGAAACTGCGTTACAACGATGGAGAGTAGGGCAGGAAGATGCCTTGATACGAGCGTGTAATGCCAAGTACTGCTCATAGAACCTGCATAACATGCATCGTGCCATGCATATTGCTACACTAATTGTCTACATACAAGATACACCACTAAAAACAAAACATTTACAAAATTTTTAATGCTTTTGAATGTAAATTAATTTTCTAACGATGATCGATCCATTTGACACAATCTATGAAAATCATCTATTATAAATAAATTATTCAAAAGCAATAAAAAAAATACTTAAATGTTACATTTCAAGTGGAGTATCTTGTATATTGAACACTGATTAAGATAAGTATAAAATTGAAATTATGTTAAAAAAAAATATTAATCATATATAAAGTAAAGACTCTTCTGAAGTAATATTCTATATGAATAATTAATATTTTCACATTGAGATTTTAGAATAAATTATTTGTAACTTTATCAAATTAAAATACAAAATTGTATTTGTAATCTGCTAGTTTGAATTGTTTAATCTCTATGTGCAGTACAATACTCCGTATATGAATATATTAGATGTTGGGAATTTACATATAAGCATAAGTTGACATTAGAGCATAATTCTACAACATACTTTGCATAAATGAACATAAGCATGTTAACATAGACTTTATAAATGGACAACCAGAGGAGCCTTCAAATAACAAAAAAGCATAAACGCAGATCACACAATGTTACATATATGAAGCTAGTAAAAAATAGGCAATATAAAAAAAATAATATATATATATATATATATTAATGAACTTACTTTTCATCTGTCTCAAAACTGTGTGTTCTTCTTAATACTACCTCCGGTTCTGTCGGGAGTTTATTTGGTGAATTCAGCAACTTAGTACTTTTGTCCTTATCTTCAAGTTCTAATAAATATTTTATATTTATTATTAAAAATCATATGATAGATTTATACTTAATCGAATAATTAATTAATTACCTTCTACATTTTGTATCCTATTTCGGAAAGAACCGGAACGCCTCCAGGATGGAATAACTCCTTCTTCATTATTATCAGTTTGTTGCTTAGGGGGCAATACTGGAGCCTGATAAAAAATATATACAAATTAATAAAACATTATAATATTTGTTTCTAATTATATATTATAGATATCTTTGTTATTTTAAAACTTACTTGATTAGGAACTTTATTAATTTCGATAGGAGATAGTGGAGAGTGAGTTGTAGTTTCCTCTTTGTTTACTCTATTTTTCTTCTCTACAAAATAAAGTAGAATAAAATTAAAAAAAAAAATGTATATCATCCATATTTATTATCGATGTTATCAGTCATACCTAATTTTTAATTTATTCTGTCATGTATTAAATATAACATGAACTTTATCATGATATTAAAATTTCCTTTAATATGAAACATTTTATTTAGGAGTGAGTATGTACAATTTGTACATACGCTATTACTATTAAAATATTAAAAATACTGTGTCTTACAGACAAAACTTACCATCATCTGTAAGACATGTGGAATGGTTTGATTGGTTAGACTTATCAGACTGATTGGAGCAGGTGGAAGAGCGTGATTCTGAGCTAGTTTCAGAAACAACTTCGCCATCACTCTCTTCCATATCTATTTCTCTTGTTGCTTCTATCCACGCAGCAATGTTAGAAGAATTGCAATATTAAGATAGGTAAATAATCCTTATAAAAACAAACTATATATTGAATGTTCATTTTATCTATTATCTATTTCTCTATTATTTTTTAAAAATCTTTTTCTAATGTTATTATACTTTTATATCAAACTAAATTCATTCCTAATAATAATTAAAAAAAATCTTACCGACGTCGCTATTCGTTCCAGTACTAGAATCATCTTTATCAGATTGAATCTCCACTTCCACTTTTTTAACTTTATTTGGTGTTTCCTCTTCTAAAATTTCGGGACTCTCTTGCGTCGTTACAGTACTATCAGTACTAGTTGAAATACTATACAAATTTTAACAAATATAAGGTTTCTGCATACAATGTACACATACTTATTTAATAACTATATCTTATAATACAAATGAATGTATATACAAACCGTTTCTTTGGTATAGAAGGTTGCTTTTTATTAATTATTTGTGGATGATCTTTCATTATAGTTGATTGTTTTTGTTTTAATTCTTCTAAATCTTTTAGAATATCCGCATCAGCAACATCAAAAGCAGTTTGTCCCTAATAAAGTAAATATTACTATAAATACAATCAAATTAGTATTTACAAATACAACTAATTACTACATACTGCATAATTTTTGATATCCATATCACAAAAGTTATCCACAAGTAGTTTACAAGCTTCTAATTGACCCCAATGAGCTGCGCCATGTAAGGGTGTCCAACCATCAAAATCTTGCATATTGACATCACATCGAGCCTGAAGGAGAATACTAAAACAATAATTTTGAAGTATAATTATTAAAAACAAGATAATATATTCCATTTTATGTATTGAATCTATACTTGACATAAAGCGATATTTAGAATTGTTTTTCATCATAATGCATGATACTTTACTTCATAACTTTGATGTAGCCTTTAGCAGCAGCAACATGAAGTGCCGTGGCTCCTGTTCTAGGATGCATTGAATCTTTGCCTGGTGCTCCTGATCTCCAAGCTCTTGCATCGTTTAACATTGACCTTTCTTCTTCACTTCTGGCTTGATCGCAATCTATACCTAAAGTAGATAAAGCAGTAGAAATAATATTTCAAAAGTTATTTGGCATTAGTTTCTACAAATATATAAGAACAAACCTGCTTTATTTATATGTTGCTGTAGCATATCCTCCATCTCAACCTTTTCTGCAATATCAAGGGCCAATTCGCCATCATTGTTAACTGCTGCCAAATTGCACCCTTGTTCTATCAAGTATCTAGATTAAATGATAGTATTATATATAAAATACAGTATTAATTAATGACAAGATTTACCTTTCAAAAATAATTTAATATATATAACTACTGACTTGGCTATTGATATGAAGCCACAAGATGCTGTAGCATGTAAAGGAGTCCATCCTTCGTTATCTCCACGATTTATATCTGCTCCTTGTTCTACCAAAAATTCTACCATATCCAGGTCGTCGTCGATACATGCCTATGATCAAAATCTACATTATAAATTTATTCTTTTATTTTTCTTATTATAAACTCACAATTCTTATATATGTAATCGATTGCTTTGATATATTTAAATAAAAATAGGTCAATGCAATGAAATACATTTCTAAAAAATCTTATTGATATTATAAATATAATAAAATGATATCGTTATAATAATTTTTATGTAAAGAAATATTTGTACATAACAGGTTCCATCCAGGTCTTGTCAAAGAAACTATTTATTACAACACTGCTAAAGACAGAGGATATAAGCAGAACACGAATGGTGAGGGCTGCGACTTCTAACAGAGAACTATAAATAGCATTTAATGCCTGATGTACTCTCATATGCTATTTTCGCAAATCTATGAAATGCCTAAACTTCCTTATAGAAACCATAAATAAAAGTAAACATTCCTGTAATTCTTACGTATTCTGCAGTTCAATTTTTTATAACTAAACTCAAAATTTCATACATATAAATATATAAATACATAATATACTAAATAAAAATCTTAAGAGTATATAAATATATTTTTTAAAATATACATATCCACACAGTCCAAAATTTGCAAAAATAAAATTTGAATTTCTTGAATAATATATTAATATAATATTTCCTTAAATGTAATTATTTTTTTATCTTTGATAAAATGAATTAGAATTTTGAAGAGTGTCTCATATAAACTCATAGAGTAGTATGAACGTCTTTTACAAAGTTATTTTTAGTCTCATCCTAATTTAAATCTATTTCAGAATTCTTAATCGATGTGGTTCTGTTACAGAGATTTCTTTTTTTAAAATTCAATAGTACCAAAATTAAAGTTTTAAATGAACCAACTAGAAATACAATTTTTGTAATTCAATAACTTTATTATTTTTTAAATTGTTTATTTTTTCTTACAAAAAAATAAGTTTTATATTTTCAACAAATATTTTAACCGTCAAAAAACTGTTGAGTAATGTATCAGTAAATATATATATATGATAAAAATAAATCATGAAAATTACTTGTAATTATATATAATAATTAATATTATTGCCAAATAGAAGAATATTAGATGATACCTAAAAAAAAACTACGTAAGATTGAACGTCATACGATCATTGCCATGGAGAATTTGATTCCGGTAGATAGAGATGAGATAATCTTTCAAATTCTTTCCACGTTTTACCGCCGTCGCTGTATAGAACTAAAGAAAGGCTATCATTCATAACATAAACAACATTCAAAAAAAAGATACGAAGTAAAATAAAGGAACTAACGAAAATATTCTTTCATGAATTATCCCATAAACAAAAATATAAATAATGACAATAAAATTTAAAGATTCATTCGTAATTATACTCGAACAGTTGAAACTATCAGCAGCCATTTTGCACGCAATGTTACATTACATTCAACAGTGAATAGAGAAAGAAAGAAAGACAGAGAGAGAGAGAGAGAGAGAGAGAGAGAGAGAGGATAGACAGATAGATAAATAGATAGATAGATAGATAGATAGATAGATAGATAGATAGATAGATAGATAGATAGATAGATAGATAGATAGATAGATAGATAGAGATAAATAGATAGATAGAGGGCGGTAAGACGAAGATGAAATCCAAGAACGAAAAAGAATGAGAACGTAAAATTAACATTTATTTTTTTTTATTTTTTAAGTCAATCCTATCAAAAAAAAAATAAAAAATCTTGACCAAAAGGTTCAGGTTGACGTGAAACGTAAACAAAACAGAAATGATAAAATTAGACAGAGAATAAGAAGATGTATCTTTTTACCTGGTGCAACGCCGTGAGACCATCGACGTTTCCGGTGTTGATGTCCGCCCCTTTTTGGAGTAAACGTACAACCTCCTCCTTGTCGCCTGCCGCACATGCCGCCAAAAAGACACAATCATCGGAAAATTTGATCTTTCTTGCTACCTGACGCGGTTGGGCCGGTTCCCGATTAGTTTCAGATTGTTCCCAACGTTTGAGCTGTTCGGCTCTTTTAAATAGAGCCGAGCTCGAACGAGTCTCGAGAGACATCGCCTCGGAACACGCACAATCGAGCTCGACAACCTTATAACCACTGCGCGTTGGTCTCTTTGCCTCCTTCCACTTCTGTCTCTATATCTATATCTCTATCTCTATTTTTCTTCCTTTCCTTCTTTCTATCTCTCTCTTGTCTCCTTCTATCTGTTACTCTCAATCCTCCTCGTTCAATCTATCTTTTTTTTCTTCTTTTCCTCTCTATCTGTCTATCTGTCTGCCTGTCTGTCTCTCTGTCTCGTTCTCCCTTTCTCTCTCTTTCTCTCTCTCTCTCTCTTTCTTTTTATCTCTGTCTCTCTTTTTTTTCTTGTCTCTTCTCTTCCCTTCTTTCCCTTCACTCCCTCTTGGACAATGTTCCGGATCTTCCACTTGGCGATATCACTTCACTTGGATTCACTAGGCCCAACTCAAGACGCTGAAAGAAGCGTCCACTGTTTCTTGCCCCCATATACGAAGAACTAATCGCAATCCGTGCGCGTCACCGTACGAAAGATCACTCATGAAATAACGTAAGTGGCTACAAGCGGAGGGAGCGGTCGGTGGTAAGACAGCGCTCGGCCACGGGACGGATAAATTCGCTATTCTTGGTCCGCTACCGATACCCGAATCCGTCTTATAGAGAACGACCCGCGATATTGCCAACCTCTTGTTCTTTACTTCCCTGAACCCTATAGACGTTCAGTGAAACCAAACTTTTATAACTTAATGTAAGAGAGAACACACAAAACTTGTCGACACGTACGCTAATGACAACGGTATTGTTCGCACCCTCTGTCGTCAAATTTCATAGAAATATTTGAAATTTTCCCGCCGTTAGAATTTTGAAAAAGAAAAAGAGGAAAAAAATATATTAATTCAACGATTTTCTATTTTTTTTCTATTTAACTCTTTGAATAGAAAAACCGTATACATATGTACACCCTATATATACAGGCCTATTAATGTTTACAAAAGACGTACATATATATATCATATATATATATATATATATATATATATATGTACTTATATGTCTATCAATATATACGAAAAGCGTATATATACGACCTATAAATTTTTCTTGCTATAACACATTTACTGTTTGACTAAACTAATAGCTGAATATCGTCAATTGTTTCAAATTTGTATAATATACTGTTCAGTTTTTATTTTGCTGCCTTGTATAAGAACAATACGTTTCATTGATAAGCATTTATGTGTGACTCATATCTTAGAATATATCATTCACATTTGGTTATTAAATACCTTACGTTATCTCTATTATTATTTTAACATTGTTAAATTAAATTTCTTTTTCTATTATATTTAATTACGTTTATATTTCCTTATAAATATAGTTTGCGCACCAATGTGAACGAAATATGTAATTAGGTCAATGAGCATAACAACGTGCGACTATCATACGAATATCGCGCTGTAAATATTAATTATTTCATGCGAAAATGGTCCACAATTCGAAGAGAAGAATACTTACTTCGTTTTAATAAAAGATGAGAAAATAATCATTGAGTTTACGTCTTATAATTAAACGTCAAAATTAATTGCACTAAAAAGTAAATTTGAATTTGGCGGGCAACTAGTTGCGTGCGATGTTAAATAATAGTGTAGTCTTCTTCCTGTTGGCATAGTTTCCTTGTTTCCATAGTATGACGTTTTGTTCCATTTTTCGTTAACCGTAAATCTTAATATATATATAATAAAAGGTAAATATAGTTAATTTGATAATATTATTGATTATTATTATTATTGATATTACGTTATATCTTTAAAAATATCAATTCTATACGTATAAAAGCTCTATTTTGGATAAAAACGTATATTTATACCTGTGTGTCTGCATTATTTAGCGTGGAGAATAGACAAACTAACAAACTGTTTGACAACGAGGGCGTAACCGATCATAGATCTATGCAACAATCTCTTCTATATGAGTTTTATGTCTTTGATATTTTTATAAATGACGTTTTATCGAGGAGGTTGGTAAAATCGTCTTCGTATTATCATATATCCTGGTGTAATACGCATATATGCTTGTCTCTACAGTTGTCATCGTAAGAAAAATATTGTGACATGGAGAATATATTTCATGAAAAGGTAAAAAATTGTTATAAACATTTGAAATAGAAATAAGGTTATTAGATTTATGATAGATTTCATTGCAACCAGATTGTTTGTTACAGCAAGAAGGATTTTTGTGCGCGCAACATTGTTTGAATGCTCTTTTACAAGGTTCCTATTTTACCGCGGTAGATCTTGCTAATTTTGGTCATCAAATGGACGAGGCAGAACGTCTTAGAATGGCCGAGTCAGGTATCGATAGTGAGGATTACAAACTTTTCCTAGAGGTATTTCATTACTAAATGAATACATTTTAATAAATTACGTATATTCTTATTTTACAGTATAATTTGAATTTAGTGAACTGTAAAATTAATGTGTAATTTCTAAAGATTTAGCATTATTCAATTTTTCGTTTGAATTTTGTATTTTGAAATTTCAATAAATTGACATGACTACATATTTTATATCATAGCAACCGTCCGAAAATATGGACGATAGTGGATATTTTTCGGTTCAAGTCATTAGCAGTGCTTTAAAAGGAGTTTGGGGTTTGGAGTTGATTCCTTACAACAGCACTGAACCTGTCGCATTATCAGCACAAAATGATCCTTCGTAGGTTATTATTAATTCTTTACTTGATACCATTTTTTTTATGATTGTTTCATTAGTTATTGCTTAGCGTCAAAAGAATAATGCGAAACTAACATACTGACTCGCATCTTTTTGTAAACATATAGATAGCAAAATAAATTTACAAGATATGGATATCTTTCGGATACGTTACATAGTTATAGATAGTAAATGTAACTTGCAGGCAGATGAAAGCTTATATCTGTAATTACAAAGGGCATTGGTTAACGATACGAAAGATTGGAACACAATGGTTCAATTTGAATTCGATGCTCAACGGTCCAGAACTTATATCAGACACATATCTAGCAATGTATTTGGCACAATTGTTACAAGGAGGTAAATAATTAATGAAAAATTGATATTACAAATAATATATAAGATAATCTCGTTTATAGGTTATTCAATTTTCATTGTCATCGGTAACCTTCCACAATGTCCTGCGGATGAAATATTAATGAAGAATCCAATAAAAATGCCATGTTCAATTCCAAGAACGAAGGAAAGTGTTAAAGAAGAAAAACCTATGACCACAGGATATCGCTTGGGTACCAAAGAAGAAGATGATGTTATGAAGGCAGTTCGTGCATTAGAAGGAATAAAAGTTCCCTCTTCTTACAATACTCCAAAATTTGTGAATTCATCCTCGGACTATAAAAAAGATAATTTACCTAAACAAGAGATATCTAATGAAAAACCACGTGAACGAATAATTCCTATAAGGATAGAAGGTAAAGAAGATTTAGATGAAGAAAATGATGAGGAATTGCAAAAAGCATTACGCTTAAGTTTGCAAGATAATGAAGATGATACAGATAAAAATGTAAATTTAAGATTTGAGTCTCATGCTGATAATAAGATATCACCGTCAACAGAACTTGATGATATAGATCAAGATGACGAATTAAGAAAAGCTGTACAATTAAGTCTTGAATGTGTAACAGCTCCACCAACACCTGATTTAGAAGATTTGCGTTGGCGCCGATTAAGTCATTTTGGTGTATATTCTAAAACATCAAATAACGAAACTTCTCCAAAATTAAATTCTTAACAATAAATATCAATACTATGATAACATGGCTATTAAAAAGATTTATCTTGTAAATTACAAATTAATTGTTTAGAGAAAAAAACAGAGTATCATTTTATGTACTAATAATTAAAAATTTAATGAATGTATAATGAAATAGATCTCGCGCTTGCGTGACATTTATAAACAGCACATATGTAAATACGAAGTATATATGTATATGTATATA